AGAAAAATGTTGAGAAATTTAATTTTAAAAATTCTGTAAACATTTATGTTGGTGTATATATATATACAATTAGATGAGTGGATAGTGAAATCTTTTATAGGCCCCTGGGGTTGAGTTTGAATATGTTAACTGCTGTGTGGAGACATCTTTAGCTCTTACCAGGGTTAGAATCATTGTGTGTCCTTTTCTGGCAACAAGACCAGACGGAGAAAAAGAAGTGCCTGTGAGCTCATTGAGTGAAAACTTCGAGAGCTTTTCCTGTCCTTAAGAATTCTTTCAAGATTTAGTTTTTATTTTTGTATTCCTTTTCAAACAAATGGAAGAACAATGCAGTAAGTCAAAGCAACACATTCAGTAGGCTCTGCACGGGATGGACAAACTGGAACCAGCACCGAGGAGGCCAGAGGACCAAGCATTTGGCCAGAATACACTTTTCCAAACCTAACCAAGATTTTGCCTGTCCTTCAAAATCACCTTGGAATGATTTTTTAGTTGGATGTGTTTTTCAATCAGAATCTGGTGCCAGGCCAAGGAAAGAAGTTTTGGTTTTATTTGTCATGCTCAATTTTCCGCAAGATTCTAGAACAAAAGTCGGTGCTAGATTGGTTGTGGTGTGAGGGAGGAAAAGAGAGGACACAGGATGGTTTCTTATTTTTGTCATTCTTTTGGCCAGAACTAAGTGATGCTCTATTTATTGAGTAGAGATGAATAGAAGTGAGAAACTAGTTTGGAAGCTACTAACGGTGACCCATACATTGAAGACAGTGTAGACAGGGAAGGAGGTGTGTGGGGCTAAACTGTGTGGTGCGTTTGGGAGAGCCACAGGATCCAGAATACTCCTACCTTGTTACTTGCTAATTCTAGGACACTCACCTTGAGTTTCATTCTTAAGACATCCCCCCCCCCCCCCTTGATTTTTACAAAATTCAGGGAACAAGGAAGAAGGGGAGGAGGAGTGGTTATGTGTAATAAGTCACATCAGGGAAGGCGTAATAAATCCAGGGAAATAATGAAAACTTCAAATTAAGCATGTGAACATCCCAGGGAGACAGGAAGTGCTATTGAGGGAGCCTAGATTTCAACTGCACTCTGTGGACACTGAGTCCAGCTGATGGACCACACGTAGATTCCTGTACCATCGCTACTGCATGAGTCCTGGCAGAGTCTTAGTTATGTGTGAGCTTGACTTAGTTCTTAATCTAGAAGTTATGTTGAGTCAAACACTGGTCTGGCCAAGAGAGTGAGTAGCAATTTTGTCTCATAAGAGAGCCAGGGAAACCTGGGTGGCCCTCAGTGATTTCCTGGGGTAAAGGAGCATGAGTTTCAGGGTTTCAATTTGCCTATTACCTGGTAAAGTGATCTGTGTGCTTCGCCTGGACTTTCTCGGTGGTTGATTGCTACCTTAGATAGAAAATTGAAAAATGGCCTTGCCCCAAGACTGCCACTACAGCTTCTAGGGGGTAGGATGCACATTGTTTCAAAGACCCCAGTAGGGCTTGTTCCAATTATTGAGATTAACCCATCTGTTTTATCTGCTTTAAAAATCCTGTTTGTAGCTTGGTCACATTGGGGAACAAGGGTCATTTATATCTACAGCTGTGTGTGGGAAGGAAAAGAGTAGCGATTTGTTTTATCAAAAATTAGTTTTTTTTCACCCTTTAGGTAGGACAGTGTTTAGGGGGCTGGCTCATTTCCCTTTCCCCAGGGGAGGGGGAAGGCTGTTGTATAACCCCCGCAGGTTAGATTGGTTAACTAGTTTCTCCTGGGAAAGGCCTTGTTATAAAGAACAACCCGTTCCCTTTTCCTTCCTGATGCCAGGAGCAAGGAGATTTTTCTCCGCTCTTCACCATGAGAACCCAGTTGAACTCCTGGAGGTGAAACTCAAAATGTTGGGGTCCCCATTTGGCTGGCTCCCCCGGATTTTTAAACTTGGACTTGTGCACTCTAAGCCTCCAACAATTCGTCAATTAAACTTCAGGTTTTCTGACCCTAGCACTGATCACGTGGAGGCGACTAATCAGTGAGCTGTGATTCTCTGTATTTGCCTGTCAGTCTCCCCAATTTGAGGGAAAGGAGTTTGCCTTTTGACTTCACTTCTCAGGTGTATCTAAGAAGAGTTACTGATTTTGTTTGTTCTGTTTTTTAGCAGATACGATGGAGTGATGACATCCCTGTTGGTTAATGGATTTGTTCAAGAACCTTAAGATAAATTATTCCATTCACTGGGAAGACATATTGATTCTAAATTTATATGTATCTGCTGAATTTGCCTATAGCCTCATATAAAGCCAGGCTGACAGGATTAAAGGAAAAACTTGTGAAATCCATCAGCTTTTAATATCAATAGATTGCACACTAGTCAGATCAAATGTATCCCTTAAAAGAAAGAAAATAGAAAATGAGAGAAGTGTAACTATGGAACTTGAGCTAATGGACTTGACTTCATGATGTCTGGAAATGACATATTTCTTTCAAGTGCACATGGAACACCGACCAAGGCAACACCCACATGGACATGAGGCTGGCTGACCCCAGTGTATACTCAAAGGATTTGGATCTGACTGACCACATTGTCTTTAACTACAATGCAATTAAGCTAGAAAACAAAGACAAGATAATTTTAAAAATTCATTCACTTGAAATCATCATAATAAAAGGCTAATATGTAAATGGCCATCATGCTGTGATGCCATAACGATTGATCAGCAGTGACCTGAAGTTGTGTGGCCTCTTGCCAGGCCGAGACCTCAGGCTGCACCCCTGTCCCAGTGGGGCTTGACAGGGGACCTGAGGCCATGCCCCCTGCCCGGCAGGGCTTGACGGGTAGGGCCCACCACGTCTGGGTTTCACCCAATGGGAGTGGGGCTGGCAGGGTCTGGGTCTGGTGTGATTTCAAGGCACATGCAGATGGGTGGGGACTTGACTCTGGGTCCTGTGGTGTGCCCAGACTGACAGTAGGGAGGTTTTCATATATTAATACATTTTACTAATTTTCTTTCATCTCTGACATTTCTATTATAGAGAAAGGGCAAATAGCAATATTAAATATTTCATATAATTAATTCCCTTTTAATGTGCATGAATTTTGTGCAGTGGGCCATTAGTTTAATAATACTTATAATCCACTCATAGGTCAAAGGAGAAATTATAATTGAAATTAGAATCTTTCATCACATCCAACTTTTGAGATATGAACTTGGGAGGTGACAAGGGGGGGGTGGGGTTTTGGGAGCTGAAGTTGAGCAGCCATCAAGGGGATTGTAGTTTGTTACTTCTTCAGGAGATAGTCTGGGCAGATGTCCTAGGAAGGTGTCTTATCAGTATTTTTCCCAAGCTTGTAAAACATGCTTAGAGCAAAAACAATGAAGAGTTCAAAAAAGGCCTGTTTGAAGGGATGTGGGAGGAAGGGAGCATTGTATTAACTATCCCTGAGTTGTAAAACCAGCAGGGAGGGGAGTATGCAAGAATGTAGCCTGAGAGTAGCTTATCTTGTCTTGAAATTTGAACAGAGAACCTGTTTGAACCAGAGGAGCTGACAGTCTTGGGGTTTAATTACCAGTTGCTTCTTATAAATTGTGAAAGGCCATACTAAAGAAAAAGAAGCCTTTTTTACATCTCTGCAGAGTCCACTTATATGAGGCACCTGGAATAGTCAAGTTTACGAAGATGGAAAGTAGAATGTCAGGTTCCAGGGGCGAGGGGCGTGAGAGGGAAGTGGTATTTAATGAGACAGTTTCAGTTTTGAAAGATGGAAATTTCTGAAAATGGATGATGGTGATGGTGCACAAACTGCTGAACTGTACCCCGAAAATGGTTAAAATGGCAGATTTTATATTATGTGTATCTTGCCATGAATCTAAAAAAGTTGCAAGGATTCCAAAGGAAGAAATGAAATTACTGATGTGCAGTTGTTTTCATTGTCCATACACTGCTCTCCTGAGCCGGTGCTTCCTGCTAAGCCAGGGGTTTTGTTACCCGTGATTCCAAATGGGGATGTATTTCAGAGACTATTTGCAAAATTATGGATCATTTTTCTAAGAACAAACAAGCTTCCATTAGGACAGCTTTTTTTCAGATCTTCAACAGGTATGCCACAAGACTTTTTAAAACATGCAATACCTGACTAGTTAGGGGCCTTGACCTCTTTTCCCTTAGATTGTAAAAAAAAAAAAAAAAAAAAGTGACAACAGCCATCAGCCACCACAATAGTCTTTTGGTGTAAATGAATAAAAATCATACTTTTTTTTTAAATTTTTTTTTTAGAGCAACAAAAAATATTTGTTGGTTTGCAGCAGAATTTTAGAAATTAGTTTACGGGTGCCAAGAGCTGAAAAGAGCTGAAAATCACTGCATTAGATGGTCAGAGGGGTCTGCAACCCACAGAAGTATAAGAGCCATTCTGAGTGGACCTCTTACCCGCCCCACCCCCACGCCCCAGCTCTGCAGACCCGCAGGCTGTGACCAGGTGCTTCCAGTAATGCCCAGCCCTTCACCGGCCTCCTCCCTCCTTCCCACCTGCCTCGTCCCCTCTCCCTGCCCCAACACCACTTTTCACTTCATTCACTCGGTGACTTAAATGCAGTGAAGTATAAGCTTAAATCTTCTTGAAGCCCTGGGGCAGGGTTTGATTTTTTAAAGATAGGGAGGCTCAGAGATCCACCAGACTTGAGGGCTTTCCCTCTTACTCTTCAGGGCATGGAGGGTGACACTGAACTGGTGCAGCCCTGGCTCGCGGACTGGACCAGAGGCTCAGTCCTGTAACCTGGAAATAATGTTCAACTCGGCTTCCTTGCTGGAGTTACATCCTGCACTCAGTGTGGCCTGAATTTAACCACAGGAAGACCCCTACTGAGTCCACGGTGCCTGGGGAGGCCAGTTCCTGGGAGGCTCCACTGGGATAACAAACAGGGGCCTCTCAGATGAAGCTCAACTTTGCGAACATCCGGTGACAAAGCTGCGGCCAGCTTAACTGTCATCCAAATGCACCCTGAGACCTCTTCTTAACAAAATGCTTTTATTGCTATTTTTAATGAAATGCACTTTCTGGCACTTGCATAAGCTGTATAAAAAGGCATTTATATTCGTTGTTTGCACGCTTTTTTTCTGGTCACAGAAAGTGGGCGGAAAAGAGCAGCCGAAACAAAGCACGACAGAGGCCACCTGTGCCAGGTTAGGAGGAGGAGAGGGATCCTCCTGGCACCGGACAGGCAGGACCCCGGTTAGTAGTCGTCGTAGTTGACGCTGGCTCCATGCCGGAAGCTGTCGGGGCTCCGGGGACCGATGGCAGCGTCCTCGTCGTAGTGACGGTGGTGGTCGTCGTAGTAGTCATGTCCGTTCCGGCCTCTGCTCTGCCAGTAGGCGACGTCGTCTTCAAATTTCTGGGAAGAAGGAGGAAACACCGTGAGAGCGGGTTTAAGGATGCACGTCTGGCCGTGCCTCACCCCTGGCTTTCTCTGTGTGGTTCCCTTCAATGGTTAACACCCTGGCTAACAATGAGTCCTTGTTAGAGCATTGCTGTGCTTCTGTTCTTGCTATTAGAATCTTATAGGTTCCTCCTTTATTATGGTTTTGTCATCAGACATTATTTTAGCCATTTCCCCATGTTGAACTCATAATACCTATTCTTATGAACTGCAAATACTGGTCATCAAAGAAATGCCAAGTGCTGGAAGATGATATAGCATTTTCATCTAATCAAATAAGTAAAAAAATCAAAATTTTCAGTGAGAACAGATGCTCCTGCAGATGTGAGAAAATTGGGACCCTCACCCATGACTTACAGGAATATGGGTTTGGCATTACTTAACGACCCTTGAATGTAATTCTGTTATTGCCCAGTAACTGCCCTGCACAGAACCCAATACTGAGTGAGAAACAAGCTACACACCAAGACGCCAATAACAGCACTGGCCTTTTAGGTTGTGAATGTTAAGTAGTTAATTCACACAAGGACTAGAGTAATTCCTGGCACAGAGTTTGGCTATAAGTGTTTAGCTATTTGCACAACAAAAAAAATTATATTTGAGTAGCAAAAAGATAAAAGGGGAACAGCTGATATGTCCAACGGCTGGGAATGAGAAAGAAATAATGATATGGCTACAGGCTTGCATTTTATGCAGCTATTAAAAATGGTTTCTTTAGGTCCTGGTTGATTTTATCATCGGATTCTTTGTTTTATTGTTCTTGGATTATACGAGTTCTCTCTACATTTTGGATATTAGCTCCATATCAGAGGTATTGTTTGCAAATATATTCTACCATTCAGTTGGCTGCCTTTTATTTTGTTGATGGTTTCTTTTGCTATGCAAAAGCATTGTAGTTTGATGTAGTGCCATTTGTTTATTTTAGTTTTGTTTCCTAATAAATTTAATTTAAATCTGATGCCGCTAAAGAGTTTAATTTGTTTTCACCTATTGCATTATTTTGTATATACCCTTGGTTCACAATATGAATCCTGAGTCCTTTAGGAAAAACACTTCCATCTGCCCTGCTGGAGATGCCGCCCTCCCTTCTCTCCCTGACCAGGGTGGAGGGCTGAGTGCTCCCTGGCCATGGTGGAGGGCTGAGTGCTCCCTGACCAGGGTGGTGGGCTGAGTGCTCCCTGACCAGGGTGGAGGGCTGAGTGCTCCCTGACCAGGGTGGAGGGCTGAGTGCTCCCTGACCAGGGTGGAGGGCTGAGTGCTCCCTGACCAGGGTGGAGGGCTGAGTGCTCCCTGACCAGGGTGGTGGGCTGAGTGCTCCCTGACCAGGGTGGAGGGCTGAGTGCTCCCTGACCAGGGTGGTGGGCTGAGTGCTCCCTGACCAGGGTGGAGGGCTGAGTGCTCCCTGGCCGTGGTGGAGGGCTGAGTGCTCCCTGACCAGGGTGGAGGGCTGAGTGCTCCCTGACCAGGGTGGAGGGCTGAGTGCTCCCTGACCAGGGTGGAGGGCTGAGTGCTCCCTGACCAGGGTGGAGGGCTGAGTGCTCCCTGCACTAGCCCCGGGCAGCCCTGGCCCCATGCAGAGCTCTGCGCTGTACTACCCCACCCCCACCGCACTGGCTTACCTGGCCCCGGCCCCCGCTGGGAGTGCTTGGTTAAAAACGCGGTGAATTGCCCACTCTCCTTACCTGGGCTCGTGAACCGAACCATCTTTTCCTGCAAATGCACTGACAGATTCTCCCCAAGACATTTCAGACCCCTTTCTCCTTAAACGAAAGTTTCATCTCCTTCCTTTGGCCTCGCGGGTCTTCCCATTGGTCTGGGTGTTTCTGACATTTTTTGAGGGAAAGCTGAAATGCTTTTGGGAGGTTGTGAGTTACTTTAAGGACACCCAGGCAAAGCAGTGGGAACTGTCCCCTGGAAGATCTGACTCTGCTGAATCTAAGTTCCAGCCAGTCTGGGCGCTGCCTTCTCTGGAATTTGGCTTCCCACTTGGACCCAGTGTGATGGAAAATTCCCGCTGCTGCCCTCATATCGATGCTCACGTAACCCGTAACCGATGCCTGGATGGCCTTGGCAGTGGGGGATGTGGTAGTGGGGGAAGGATACTTCTGGAGTGAATAATGGAGCCTAAATTTCTGTGCCATTTCCCCCGGCCCCCCGCTATTACCCCCGCCCGGCCCTGCAGGAAGCCAGGCCTCGGGAGCGGGTACCCACCGCCTCGTCGAAGCCCATGTAGAGGAACTGCTGGTACCACTGCTGCACCTCCGGCCGGGTCCGGTCCCACAGCTGCCGGCGCTGGCGCCTCAGGCTGCCGAGGAAGCTTTTAGCCTTGCTCTCAGCCACAGCCACATCAGTTTTCTTTGGAGCGGATGCTGAAACGGGTGAGTCCCACCCCAAGGCACAGAGATGACCTCTCTTCTCACTGGGGGATCACTTTTATGCCCCCCATCAGTGCCCCCCGGGAAGACGGTGCTGGCCCAGCCTCACATGTAAGTGAAGTTAGCGAGCGCTCCTGTTTGGGGACAGTCATGTAACAGGGCCTTCACCTCTCAGGCCCGGGTGGAATGAAGGCAGCTCACTCTCCACAGCCTCTCACCGCGCTGAGACCAGGCCTCGAGTGGAGGTGGGGCTACTGCTGGGCTCTGCACTGGGAGGCACAGCTGTCTGGTGCATACGCACTGTGCGTGCAGGCAGGCGAGCACTGGGCTTGTTAGGACACTGGGGAGTGGAAAGAACCAGAGCGATGAGCCTGAGGGGCCAGACCAGGCCCAACCTCCAGTGCTCACGGCAGATCGCTACAGTGCACCGTGCCCCCTTGGGCACCACCTCGGGCCTCCTGGCAGCCAGCCGAGTCGGGAGGGTCTGGTGCTGGCTGCGCCGTGCTTCCTCCCATCTTCTTGTGGGGCTGCAGCTGGGTAGAAGGCAGCTCCTCGGCAGGTGTGCCAGGGGCGCTCTGCACCGGGTCTGCCCTGCTGGCTGGCTGGGCCTGGCCCTCCTACACCGTGGGCCTGAGTGCCCCTGTCCCGGGCTGACGTGAAGGCTGCCAGGGGAACGGGAGTGGGTGCCCTCTGTGTTCCTTGTCACGTGGACAAACACCAGGGGGTTGTTTTCACTCTTGTTCACATCTTTTCCCTTGGGGCCTGCCACACTGTTGTGTACACAGCAGGGCTGCATATGGATTTCTTGGCTTGCAATGAATAAAAGTTGAGGATCTACACCCCAGACTTGTGGCCATTCTGGTGGTTTCTTCTCCAGCCCCACCTCTGTCTGTTGGCCCTGTGAGTTGTCTGCGGGGTTGTCCGTGGGGACAGGCTGGCTGCCCAGCTGGGGGAGGAAGCCCTCTGAGGCAGCTCCGAATCTGAGGAGAGACCCAGGCCACAGGAGCGGCTGGGAATCCTGGGAAAGATGCCCAGGAGCCCTGATTCTGAGAGGGGTTCCCTAAGGGTGAGTGCTGGAGGCAATTTAAGCCTGCTAGATTCCCCACTAACTCAGAGAGACAAGAGTAAGTTATTTCCGAAAGCCAAGGTCCGGAAACAGCCCAGGTGCCCATCAGCAGATGAGTGGATAAAAAAGCTATGGTACATTTACACCAGGGAATACTATGCAGCAGTGAAAAAGAAGAAGCTCTTACCCTTTGAAACAGCATGGAGTGACCTGGGGAGTATTGTGCTAAGTGAAATAAGCCAGTCAGAGAAAGATAAGTATCACATGATTGCACTCCTATGTGGGATCAAATAAAATAAACTGATGATTAAAATAGACTCAGAGACAATGAAGCATGGAAGGGACTGACATATTTCAGAGGGAAGAGGGGGGAAGATTAACCAAAGACCTTATTTGCATATATGCATAACCCATGGGCACAGATAATAATGTGATGAAGCCTGGGTAGGAGAAAGGAACAGGATGGAGGGGGTTAATGAGAGAGAGGAAGGGGGACATCTGTAATACTTTCATAGTATTGTATTTGATATAAAGATAAATTTTTAAAATAACAAGTGGTTCTAGTCAGTTTGGCTCAGTGGATAGAGCGTCGGCCTGTGGACTCAAGGGTCCTGGTTTGATTCCAGGCAAGGGCACATGCCCAGGTTGCGGGTTTGATCCCCAGTATGCAGGAGGCAGCCAATCAATGATTACCGTATTTTTCGGACCATAAGACGCTCCGGACCATAAGACGCACCAGTTTTTAGAGAAGGGAAATGAAGAAAAAAAGATTCTGAAACAAATAGTGTCCTAAAATATTTTATGTGCATTAAAACCCAACATCACAGTCATAAACACATGTAATCAACCCTGTAAAGTAAACAGCAGCATTTAGAACCATTTTAGAGCCGGGCAAGCACACAGAGACCACACAGAGCCGGGCAAGTAAAAAAACTTTTTTTTAAAGTATATGTGTAGGCTATATTTGGACCATAAGACGCAGGGACTTTTTCCCCCCACTTCTGGGGGAAAAAAAGTGCATCTTATGGTCCGAAAAATACGGTATCTCTCATCATTAATATTTCTATCTCTCTCTCCCTTCTCTGAAATATATATATATATATATATATATATATATATATATATATTTATAAAGGAATAAGTGATTAAATGTTCATAACAGAAATGTGGCAGTTAATTTTACAGGTGAGATGAAAAATCCGAGAGAAAAATGCCCTTCACAAGAGCACAGCACTGGCCCAATGGCCGCCGGATGGGATGGCGGATGGCGATGGCGGATGGCCCAGCTGCTGTGGCTCCCAGGCTGCTCTGCGGCACTCTGCTGCTGTCCACATTCGCTCAGCGTGTGAGTAAGAAGAAGCTTTTGAGTTGACCCTCCCCACAATAGCTAACTGGAGATGGACCACCAGGACCATACAATAGGTGCGCATCCACCGGCTGAGCTTTGCTGGACTCTACAATGCGCTCTGACGGGTCCACGGCCCCAACACAAGCACAGCAATTCACACTGCAGCACGGCCTCTTTTAGCTGAGTCCCCACTGACAGCTTTCAGAAAAACAGCCTTCAAACACTCCTGGCAAAAATACTTAACTAATAAAATATCACACCACCGCCCACAGAACGAGCTCTTCAGGCCTGCTAACCTTTAAAGGACGAAACACTTCTGAGTGGCCAGACATGACACTCGGGTGAGCACGTTCAGCGTGGCCATTGCATTTAACCCCTTACCCACTGGGGTGTACTTACCTTCCCGCTTCTGAAGCATCAGCTTGAGTGTATTTCCACGCGTGGCGCCTGAGGAATGGAAATAGAGACCAGGTTCAGCGTGGCTGTACTCTTTAACACCTCAAATGCAAAAGTCAGTTGGAAAATCCCACTACGTGTGCCCATCTTGATTTGGCAACTTGATTGTAGCACATACACTGCTTTGGGCTCGTTGTGTTCCCTGTTGTGCAGAAAAAGCAGTTCAGGCTGCCCATGGCGCAGACTAAGCCATGACTGTGGCTGACCAGGGACATTATGACATGAGCTAGTCCCTGGAGAGTGGCCTTTCTCTGTCAGCCATTACGTCCTATTCTGAGGGCCACCTGCCCTAGGTCCCTCCCGGCAGACTTCCTCTCTGGGTGGTACAGTGGGTGGGAGTGTCCCCCTCTCCAAATACTCCGGCACCGGAAACCTCTGTGTTGAACTCATCTGGAAACACAGTGTTTGCAGACATAATGAGTAGAGCTCTCGAGGTGCTATCACACTGAGCCTAGGGTGGGCTCTGCACCCCGAGACCTGTCCTCACAGGAAGGGGAGTCGATGCAGAGAAGGCCGTCAGAGGACAGCAGCAGAAAGGGAGCTAAGCTGCCACACGCCCTGCCTTCGCCCTCTCCCAGCCCAGCCCAGCCCAGCCCAGCTGAGTAGCTTGTCCTGCTACCTCGGAGTCAGGCCTTCCTTGCACCATTCGCTCTGACTTTTATTCACCTCTAAACATGTTTCTAATCAGCCTGAGCATTTCAATGGAAAACAACACGTCTGGCCTGACAGAACACCCTCCATGTGCAGGCAGTCAGACCCTCCGGTCCCTCAGGGCGCCTGTAAGTGGAAGGTCTGGCCTCTGCAGGGAAACAAAGCCCTGGGGAAGCCAGCCTCAGAGCAGGGAGCTGAGTACCGTCAGGGGTAAGGAGCTAGTTTGGTCCCAGGATGGAGACAGCCTGGAGGTGGGGTGCCCTTTCTGGGCAGGAACTTGCCTCCTCCCCATGGACAGGCCCCCATGCCAGGCTTCTGTCGGAAAGGGCGCAGTTTTCTGGGGAAAGGAGCCATAGCTTTTTCCAGACTCTCAGAAGTGTCTGGGACCCCAGTGAGATTAAAAACCCCTGCATAGAGAAGTTAGCAGGTAGGTGAGGGGGAAAACTCATTTGTAGGGAAAGGTCACAACCTGGCCGCCCACATGGCTTTTCCTGCAGGTGTGCTCTATTGGCATGCCCAATGCTACAGAAGTTCAATCCGAACACCTCTGGGCCCAAGTCACTCGACACCCCTGGTCCCCAAACAGCCACTCCCACTCCCCCCTCCAAGCATTTGAACGTAGTGGTACCCAGCTGTCAGTAGGTGTGCCAGTGGGGGAGCCGGTTCGGAAGAGTCTCTAGAGACCACACTGAAGGACTGGGGTGCAGGGGGGGTGTCCCCGCATCTTCCATAGGAGGCGGGGCCTGCGGGACAGCAGCCTCTGGAAGAACCCGGGGGCTTTCCCTGTCTGTGCGCGCCAGTCTACAGTGACGGACTGTTAAGACACAATTGCACCTGTGGCTGCGTGAACTACTGGGTGGCGTCTGCAGAAGGAAGCAATTGTCCGGCCTCTGTCTCGTCCCTCCTCTGACCGGACCAGCCCTCTGCTCAGAACAGGGCACTTCCACAAGAGCACAGGGACCGGAGGAGAGAGGATGAGGGCAGGGCGCAAACATGTGTTACCTGAGAAACAGTAAAGGAATTGAGATGTCTCACCTAGAGCCAGGGTCGGCAAACTGGGGCTCACGAGCCACATGCGGCTCTTTGGCCCTTGAGTGTGGCTCTTCCACACAATACCACGGCCTGGGCGGGTCTATTTTGAAGAAGTGGCGTTAGGAGAAGTTTAAGTTTAAAAAACTTGGCTCTCAGGAGAAATTTCAATTGTTGTACTGTTGATATTTGGCTCTGCTGACTAATGAGTTTGCCGACCACCCTACGTCCTAGAGAAATAGAACTTCTGGGGCCACGGGCCATACATTAGGACGGGAAGTAAGGTTTCCAACAGCTGCACAGCCATGCAGCCTGGCCCAGGTCACAGCGCGAGCCGCTGAGCAGACGTGAGCAGAGAGGAGCGCTTGAGGGGATGACTTTTAGATGCAGTCACCCGTCCTCATTGGCTCATACTCCCTTTAAACAAGGAAATCAATGGAAACACTTCCTAAAGCCGCAGGTGTGCTCCTTGGCAGTAACATCAGCACCCATTACTGTCCTAACACTTGTTATTTCCAACAGCTCACACGGAATTAAGTCCCTCCACAGCTTGCCTTCTATAAAAGCGCTGAGCAGTTAATGGATGGGATGTGGTCTCATATTGGAATAGACATGAGGCGTAAGCATTTGCCAGGAGGCTGGAGTGTCTCGCAGCAAATGTGTCGCCACTGCTCCAGACTGCTGCTGTCCTCTGACAGCTTCTCGGCCATGCAACTGAGAGGCATGGCTGTCCCTGAGTTATGAATTGTCAGTGTCGCTGCCATGCCAGTTACTATACACCATGAGACCGGACGCCACCCTAAATTTGTTTGAAGAAGAAAAACAAAGAACAAGTGAATAACCATGATTATTTTCTGAGGATAGATTTTTATTTTTACCCCCACGCTATCAGTTCCTAATTCTAAGCTGTGATAATTGGCACTTGTGAATTTTTGAAATTTAGTGACATGGCATAGATCTCCCAGCAGGTTCAGGATTGCAAGATGTCTCTTTGTTCAATTCACTAATTGATCAAGAGGGGGCGATGATCTATTTTTTTTTTTTTTCCCCCTAGTAAATGTTTCTGAGTGTCACAAAGAGCCAGCAAGGGGACTCTACATAGATAAAAAGGTTTTCATTTTATGTCCTCGGAAAGTTCCCATCGAGCTCAGTGATGTTACTGTAACGGTCAGCACTCTCACTGTGTGTGGGTATGATGAAGTAGAACGCAGCCTGAGGAGCAATGAAGGACTTACAGCCAGTGCTCACCCTCTTTGCTGGATGTGCTTCTTACAAAGGGAGGAGCAAAGGGCGGGCACCAGGCAGACCAATGATGTAACGGGAATTGTTGGTCCGTGCCCCGCCCCCCCGTGGCTGTGATGGGAACTGCAGTCACCCTCCCCACTTGAACAGGCCCGGCTATTCTAAGGACCCAGCTCCAACCCTCCCACTGGGCCGGACAGCACGCCTCCCGCCCTCCCCGGGGCCTTGGTTTCCCCACCTGCTCTGAGTGAGTAAAATGCAGGTCTTCCCCTCCCAGCACAAGTGCCGGCTGCTCTGCAGCGGGAAAAGCACCAGCCTCGGGTCTTAGGCAAGCGGCCCACACGCTCCAGCCCCTCAGAAGAGCTGTGGGCCTCACCGCGCCTGCCTCGCTCAGCACTCCCGCAGGCAGGAGCCTCCAGGGAGAAGGAGGGGCACAGGGAAGCTGGGGTGTCCAGACAACATGTGCTATTTCAGACTGCCTCTTGGGGTGGGCTCTGCCGCCCCCGGGTCCGGGTGTCTGCACCCCCCAGTTGGCTTCATTTTGGGAGTATGTGGGAAGGTGCACATTTTATAGGGAGCATCTCATTGGGAATTCTCACCCCACTCGCTGAGGGCTCCATGAAGCAGAAAGCAGGGAGCATTTCTCCTTTGGGAGCAGGTCCCGTATGAACCTGAGGCCAGCTCAGCCTGGAGGAGAGGGCGCACCACCTCATTGACTCAAGCTTCCGGGGACCTTCCCCGCCTTAGTCCTGGAACACTTCCTGCCCCTCCAGGACCTCTTGCCCTCCTTGTCCCCGAGGTCATCACGGGTCTGAGGCCCTGCCCTTGACCCTGGTACTCTGCTGGCCTGGCCAAGCCACCACTTGCCATTGTGGGAGTGCAAAGCCCAACACCCCCATCACCCTTTGCCCTCGCTCAGACTCACAATGCGTCCTGTGCCCCCATCCGTGCCATCTCCCTCCCTGGCATCGCCCCACTTACGTGGGCCCACACACAGCAGCAGGAACAGCACCAGCGCAGTGGCAGCCAGGACGGCGGGCCGCACCGAGGAGGCCATGCTGCACCGGCAGGAGGGACGCGCTGGGCTGGCCGAGGGAGGACTGGCGGGAGAGCTGAGGCCGGGAGGGCGGGCGTGGCCTGCGTCCTTTTGGGGAGGGACCGAAGGCAGTGGCGCGGTGCCAGGGGGGCAGTGGTCCAAGCGGAGGCTCTGAGCCGAGCCCGGCTCTCTGGCCTCTGGCCGGGATGCTCAGGATGCAGGCACCACCGAGGACCTGGCAGGGCGCAGCGGGCAGGCCAGGACCCCTGGGAAGGATGGGAGGTGGATTGCCAACTCCCACCCAGGTCTCCCCTCTCCCCTCGTCCCTCTGGCCCCAGCCGGGTTGCTGGCTGCTGTGCTGTCCGCTCCCTCCGCACTGTTGGCTCGGAAAGAGGCCTCTGGAATTTCCTTAATTCCCAAGCTGCACTTAAAGATGCCTCTGGCAGCGTGTGCTTGGGATGCTTTGAAAGACTCCACAGTCCGGGTCCAGAGCCGCCATCCAGGAAAACATCGTCCCCCACCCCCACCCCGGCCGCCGGAACAGAAGGCCTTTCAGAACCCAGGGCTGGTGAGCTGTAGGTGTCCGCAGACCAGAGTGCCCACTGCGTGCCCTCTGGCCCACGCATAAGGGACACTGAAGGAGGCCCAGCCAGGCCTGCGCAGATGCCAGGTACGAGGACCGCAGGGGTGAGGGGAAACAAGACCAACTTGCCCCCCCGCCCTCCCCGCTGACCTCGGGTGTCACCTGATTAGCCCCTAGGCCTGTGGGGACCCTTCCCTCTAGGTCCAAAAGGCTGCGCTAGGACCTGCTCCGAACGCAGGGGATTGTCTCTTTCGCTTACCTCTTGCTGGCTTTTCGCACCTTGGGGCTACGGGCCCACTGTCCACCAGGTCGCTGCCTCCTCGCAGGCAGGGGGCGCTCTCCAGCAGGCCGCTGGGAGGAGAGTGTTACTCCTGGGCGAGAAAGGACGTATGGTGGCGGGTGCAGGACAGGTGTGCAGTGGTCTGACAGAACCACAAGAACTTGGGCTGCACTGGATTCCAGAGAGAAACAGAAAGATAAGGCTACCCATCAAATGATTGTAGGGAAATCTTATAAGTCTTTGGAAAAACTCGAGTAGGGGTCAGATTAAGAAAGAGAAAAAAAAACAAAACCCGAAATAAAAAAACCCCAACCACCACTCGCTGGGCCCTCACAGTCTGCTAAAGTTCCTTCTATTGGTCTATTTGTTCACCAGCATTTACTTATAAAACCCTACCTACGCATGGGCACTGTGACAAGCCCTTTGATCCCCGCTACATTTGAAGTGCATGGCTCTCCTTTCTCCCTCTGCTAAAGTTGGCCCCCTGCTTTATGCCAGTGCTTCTCAAACTTCATCTAACAACCCCAAGGCGCTGGGTAAAGCCCGTTCCTGGGCCACACTTGCTGGGATTCTAGGGGAGGGCCAGCCTTGAGGAGGGCCAGGAGTCTGCCTGTTTTGGAAGGAGGATTCTAGGGGATGCCCATGTTACAGGGCTCAGAGTGCTGTTTGAGACACTGAGCTCACGCAGCTGACCATCCAAACTCACCCACTGCCCTCAGGCTTCGCCTCTCCTTCTCACCCCAGTATTTCCCCCCGAGCTACCACAGCAGCTGCAGGGGCTTCCTCTCTGCCATTGGGCGTAGTAGCTGAGAACACAGTTCCAGGAATGTGTCATATGCTAACCATGCATGTAAGTCCATGTCCTCTCTGGGCCTTGTCCTGTACAATGGGGAAATATTTAGCATGCTGAGACCAGAGTCACATGTACAGAGCCTCATATGCAGTAAGCACTCGATAAATATCAGGAGTGGTTTTCATCACCAGCACCCCCTCTGACCTCTCTATTCCTAGTGCTCTGACACCTGAGTGCTCCCCCACCACCCCAGCCAGGTGAGCAGGAACCCTCATTTTGGATGAGGTTTCAATCCACCACCTCATTATTATACATTATCAGATTCACCTTTTCAAACATTGCCTGACCTGGTGTCCCCACTTCTTTCTCTTCTAAGAAACATGGCACTAGAAGAGCCTGCTAAGTGTCCTCTGGGTATCTTTACAGATTTCCACAATAAAAGATGCTAGTATACAGAATCCTAGTGGCACCCATTGACTATAAAATCTATAACATAAACATGACCTCCAAACTCTTTGTTTAGTCTTAAAATATGTACAACAGGTATTTTTCCTTAATACTTTCTGCAGGTCACCCAATTTCACCTAAACTCAATTCCTAAGTGCATTCTCAGCACCTTCTTGGCTTCATGGCTTTGCACACAACATTTCCCAGGGATCCACTGGGCCTCACCTCTGCTAGCAAACCCTACACCCCACTTACCTATCCGGGCAGGGCTCAGCCAGGTGGTTCTGCTGCCTTGCACAGTGTTGATGGCGCTCACTCAGCCGACTCAGCTGGGATGGGCTCACTGGACAGTCCGAGAGCTCTGCTCAGTGGGGATCATTGGAAAGGTCTGGGTCCAGCTGAGATTGTCAACTGAAGAGCTGACATGTGGCCTCTCCAGCATGAGCCTCAGGGTAGTTCCTACGGGAGGTCTCAGTGCTCCCAGAAGGAGTGTTCTAAGATCACTGCTCAAAAGCCAAGAGGAGCGCCAGTGTCTAAGGTCTTCACCCGGAAGGAACACAGCCAGTGTCTTATTGATTGAGGCAGGCACAGGCCCTTGGCATTTGCAGGGGTGTCGAACTCAATCAGAGAAGGGGCCAAAATCTAAAATCCAGCCTAAATCGCGGGCCGAATGGTTTACTGAACAGTCATAAACTGACAATGTTAACCAGAAATGTGAATTTAAAATGAGTGGAACAATCTTTTCCTTAACAGTGCTGTTAACCAACTCACATGCTATCAAGCAAAACAGTAATATTGGTATCAAGCAAAACAGTAATATTGGAATGTACCTAAAATGCTCATTGTTTTGTTTTCTGGCTAGATGTCTGACACCGTTTTCCCCGGATCAATGAGTCAATGTTCAGTTTTATTTCTTGGGCTGTAGCAACCCGCAAAACAGCATGGAGGTTGTCATCGGTAATGCGTGATCTGTGCTTGTTTTTGTTCAGATTCATTATTGAAAACATCTGTTCACAAAGATAGGTGCTCCCGAACATGGATAGAATACCAGCAGCATGAAGTCGGAGCTCTGGCATTGAGTCAGGGTAGAAGTCCTCAATTCCAACATCCTGAAACCTTGATTTCAGGCCACTGTCAGACTGAAGCTCGATTATCTCCATCTGAAGGTGATGGAGCACATTGTTGACATCAACTGTAAAAGGATTGGCAAAGATGTCAAAGCCTGAGTGCTGTGTTCTAAAGTCAGAGAAGCGCCACTCAAATTCACTTAGTAAACGGCTAACTTTGGTAGCCAGCCGACTGCAAGGAAAAGTATCAGAAATAGTGGTTGAGATACTCAAACAAACGGGAAAGTGGGCAAGATTGTCCTGTTCCAGTTGGGACTTCCATAGTTGAAGTTTACGCTGGAATGCTGTGATCATGTCAGACATCTTCGTGATGACTTGTTTGCGTCCCTGCAGCTTCAGATTCAGTTGGGCGAGATGCTTGCATATGTCACACATCATAGCAAAATCACATAGCCAGGCGGGATCCGACAGTTCAGGCAAGGGCTTTCCTTTACTTTCCATGAAAAGAGCAATTTGTTCTCTGAGCTCAAAAAATCTTTTGAGGACTGCGCTCTTGCTCAGCCATCTTACTTCTGTGTGGTATGGCACGTCTCCATGCTCTGCACCCACCTCCTGTAAAAACTGCTGGAACTGGCGATGATTCAGGCCACGTGCCCGTATAAAGTTAATAGTTTTAATGACTGGTCATTATGTCATTCATGTCCAGAACTTTTCCACACATAGCCTCTTGGTGGATAATGCAATGATAAGTAATCAAGGGTGTGTGGCAGTGACTTTTTTGCATTCTTTCCTTCATTAGTCCAACCAAGCCTTTCTTTTCTCCGCACATTGAAGGTGCACCATCGGTAGTTAGCCCCACCAACTTTTCCCAGGGTAATTTAAAATTATTTATAGATTTCTCCACAGCCTCAAATATATCTCTACCAGTCGTCATCCCATGCATGGCAGCTACATCCAAAAGTTCCTCAGTGGCAGAGAGGTCGGTCTTCATAGCACGTATAAAGATGGACAGCTGCGCTGTATCAGTGTTGTCTGTGCTTTCATCAATAGCAAGTGAAAAAGCGAGATAACTGCATGCCTGTTCGGCCAGCTGTGATGATAGATTTCCTGAGAGTTCTTGAACTCTATCTGCAATGGTGTTTCTTGACAAACTGACATTTTGAAAACTCTGTATCTGGTCTGGGCATACTTGCTCACACACTTTTAGCATGCATTGCTTCAAAAAGGCACCCTTTGAAAAACACCTTGAAGTACGGGCAATTTCTTCAGCCATTATAAAGCTTGCTTTCACTGCAGCATCATTTTTCGCTGTAGCCTTTGTAAACATTTGCTGCTGTGATTGTAGTTTGCCTTTTAGTTCTTTAACAATTTTATGCTTTTCTTCCAAAGTATATTTGCCATACTTAACATTATGTTTGGTGTCAAAATGACGACGTATATTGTACTCTTTCATCACCGACACTGTCTCATAACACAATATACACACTGGTTTGCCCTCTCTAAGCACAAACATGTATTCATTTTCCCATTTGTCATTAAATTGTCTGCCTTCACCGTCAACTTTTCTTTTCCTGGACATTTTGGGATCAATATTGGCAGTAAAAGATGTAGTTTATTGGAAATCTATGTTAGAAGGAAAGAGTTGAAAACTGCACAGGGATAGCTTGATTTGGCAGATGGAGTGGAGAAAAAAAAAGTCAGTCAATAAATGCCTGGCTGGGTACAGATAGCAGATTCTGTTGCGATTTTTATGCCTGCACTTTATGCCAGGAACTGGCAGCTTCTGCTGTGTATTTTTTATGCCCGCACACTCACTCTCTCCTCTGCTCTGCCACCCACACAACCACATCGGATGCCGGACTATAGGTCACGCCTCCTGAATCTCGCGTGACTTGTTATCTATGCGCATGCGTAATAGATAGCAAGTACGGCTGCCGGCGAGGCGGCCGGCGAGATCACAAGCCTCCTATGTCACCGCGCGTCATGTGATGGAACGCAGCGGAGTGCAGTGATGACAGCGCAGTGCAGTGATGGTGCGGGCCACATTGCAAGGCCTGGCGGGCCGGATTTGGCCCGAGGGCCTTGTGTTTGACATGTGTGGTCTAAGGTCTTCACTCGGAAGGAACACAGCCAGTGTCT